TGCTTAACTAAGTTTGGCTTCCCAAGTGACAAGTGTATACATATGAATTGGTTATGGACGCCAAATTCCTTTCCCCACCAACGTATTTAAATCAGGGTGATGGGAAGATGCTGGGCCACAGACAAGAGGAGGACAGCCCACGGAGGGACCACACTGCACAGATCCGAGGTGGGACTGGACGAATCTGATCCCAACACGGCAAATATCACTTAATATTCGCGATGACAGGCTTGTCCCACTTACAACACTGGACTATAAAAGCGTTATTTTATTTACTGGACGTGGAAATAGTTTCTTCTGTTTTCTAGATCAATTCAGACATATGGAGAAAAGAAAATGGTATGTCCGATTTTTATCATTGTCACACTTCTTTATAAGTGACGCTTAATTCAGAAATGCATTTATAACGAAATTCCCTTTAAGTTATTTTGAATTATTTTTTTAAAATACCTTTCAGACATAGAATTCGTAAAATAAGTAATTTGTTTCTGCGTTAAAACGAATTCTGTATGATTTATTATTACAGGAAAGCTGCGCAGATAAACGAATCTAAAATAACACTGAATTACCGCAGCCAGCCGTGCTCGGTGTTATTCGTACTGCTATTCAAATATCAGCAAGGAAATCAAAATATTCGTTTAGGGAATGTCATTAAAATAGTAAATAGAAGGCAATCAGAGATAAAATCAGGCGGAAACGGAAATCCAAGAGCAAATTTAATTAACGCCGATCTAGCGCCAAATTTCTAACGATCTAGCGCCTAATTTCTACCGATTTAGCGCCCTGTTATTGTAATGTGTTTTTGGTCAGTATTTCGTTTGAAACAAAAAAAAAAAAAAAAAAAAAAAAAAAAAAAAAAACACAATAACCTTATGGTTCTATTAGTCACATCCATGCGCTAAAATGCCAACATAAAATGCTTCTTATGGAAAACTTTTTATTCACCGGAATGCTTTTTAGAAATGTACAAAATGCCCGTATTCCACCCGTACCAGGGCATTTATGTCGAAGTAATCAGTTTTCCTAGTGAGACCCGGAGTAAAGGGGACACTGAGAGCTCTCCATTGTTTCCTTTAATTTGCATAATATTTCTTTCTTAACACTGGCCATCATTTCCCATCCCCCTCCACAGCCCACTCAGGAGGGGCAGCACAGTCCTCCTGGCGGTCCGCTCCCTAGTAAAGGGCTCTTTCATTCAGCTGGAGCCTGGAGGAGTGAGGACGGCGTGCCTAGCGCCCACCTGCCAGGACACGGAATGGTAAGAGCCCCATCCCACAGAAAGAGCGTCTCTGCCAACTGCTGCCTGTCCCCTGTATACAGGGAGTCTTAATAGGAACCTTCTCATATATACCAGGGAAACATAAACATCCTAGTGCAGAGGGATCAGAGGGGTTTCCAAAGTAACCCATGGACTAGCTTTCATCACTTTCATTAGAGCAAGGGGAGAATGTGACAAGTCATAACGTGCGGTAATACCACATTTGTCCACACGGCGGCGCACGGATGAGAAATGATACTGGAACGGGTGAAGAGGTGATACCCTATTCAGCAAGCTATAGGAGTGACATTTGGGGAGATATGTGACTGGTGTAGATCTGATCACATTTGCTATATACAGTGTGTGCTGTTATAGATCTGATTATATATGCCATATTACTGACTGGTAGGAAGATCTGGACATATAAGTGACCGCGTTGGGGGAGATCTAAGCAAATATGCAAGATCTGTTAATGCTATGCAAATGACGGTTGGGGTGATCGGTTATACATGCTATATAACTGACTGTAGGAAGATCTGATCATATATGCTTTATAACTGACTGGTAGGAATGAAGTGACTGTGTTGGGGAGATCTGATCATATATGCTGTATAGGTGAATGTGTTGGGGAGATCTGATCACATATGCTGTATAAGTGACAGTGTTGGGGGGGAGATCTGATCTCACATATGCTGTATAAGTGACTGTGTTGGGGGTAGATCTGATCTCACATATGCTGTATAAGTGACTGTGTTGGGGGGAGATCTGATAGATATATATATATCTGTGTTGGGGAAATCTGATCATATATGCTGTATAAGAGATTTAGGAAGATCTCTTCATATATACTATAAGATGACTGCAATGATCTCCTAGGTTACATGTAATGTAGTAACTCCAGATTCAGACACATTTATATTTATAGAAAACATCTGCTGGACACCAACTGGAAAGTTATAGACAGAAAAGATAGAAAACTTTCTATTCGGGCATTTTCAGCGGGCTTACATATAAAATACTCCCATGTGATTGGATTTCGGTGGAAAGGTTCTGTGTCTGTGCTCATTATAATCTTTGGATCGGGATATAGATAGAATTGAGCTTTCCAGGCAATACACAGGCTCCAGATCAGGGAATTGTACACTTTACCGGGGTGACCTCAGAATAAAGGTCTTCATGATTGCGACTCTCCTCATGTATTATTTATATAGCTTTATCAATAGAACAGGATTAGATCATAAATATACTTAATTCACAAAGCTTCAAACACAAGGATACGACTCTCTAATAGCCACAGGACAGCATGTCCACATCCAAATATAACTGAAAATAACTTTTTCCTTTTTTTTTTAAATAAGCATGCCTATCATGGTGTGCTTCCTTTATGAATTGGACATATACCCATCTTGGTGTGCTTCCTTTATGAGTGGAGCCTGTTAGGTGTCCTATCTTGGTGTGCTTCCTTTATGAGTGGAGTCTGTTAGGACATATACCTATCTTTGTGTGCTTTCTTTGTGAATTGACCCTGTTAGGACATATACCTATGTTGGTGTGCTTCCTTTATGAGTGGAGTCTGTTAAGACATATACCTATCTTGGTCTGCTTCCTTTATGAGTGGAGTCTGTTAGGAGACATACCTATATTTGTGAATTGATCCTTTTACATGAAAACCTCAATAAATGATATCAGTGGCCTTATAGTGTCTTAATCAAAGTGAGAGCAGCTGATCCTTAGCAGAGAGGGAACTACAAGTCCACGCATGGGCATCGGTGGTCTTGTAGTCCCACAGTGCTGGGATACAAAGCTGCGTTTGTTCTAGCAGCTCTTCAGCTCTTTAGATTGCTAGCTCTCGCAGCCACAAGGATTCATGCTATTCGGTCGTGTGTCCTCTGCCATTTCTCGCTTGTGATAGCCGTGCCCCCCCCCCAATGTATTCAAGGGTCCCTACAGACAGTGCTGGCAGCAGAAAGCCCCTGTGCTCCATCTGTAAGCCTGCGGCTGGAAATGTTCCTGCAGCTGAGGCTTCTTTCCAGCAGTCACTGGGATTCCGACAGTAGTGAGAACTGGTGACTGATTTTCTTCTTCCTCACTTGCGGTTACACTAGCCTGCCAAGAGAAATGAGTAGGTTTGACAGTCTTCTATTCCGGAACCGTGCTATATATGGAGGCGGGGGAGGGCCTGTGTGAGCCCGGATCCTGGCCTTATTAGGCTAGACCTGCCCGGACCGGAATCTCAGGCTCTGCTAAGCGTGTGCCGAGGAGCCCCATATCGCACAGGCTGCTCCTACACGTGCACTCTCCTGCGTCCTGTCGCCGTACAGTTTACCGATCGCTAACAGCGCGCATCGCTTACAAGGAGCCCCATTCATCGGCTCGGGGCAGCGCTAAGACCCGCCCACCTCCCCATTCATTCAGCGGCAAGCCCAATGCAAATCCCCGTGACGACACGTGGGGGGCGCGGCGCCCTTCCCTGTTCCTGTCCTTATTTGGTCCGTGACGTCACGGGCATTCAAAGCTCCAGAATAAATACTAACAGCGAACACTTTCCATGTACTGCAATTGATTAGCTGCGCAGCAAAGGATACTTGTTAAATATCACTACGCCAGCCCCGGGATCAATGACATCCCCCCCATGTCTGCTGGCGCGGCTTCCTCTCTGCACCGGTCAATGAGCACTGACTTTTGGGGCGACTCGTTGTAGTGTCACAAGGAGTTTTTCTTCTCTTGTCAAGAAAGTGCCGCCTGTGTTTTGTGTGTTTTTTCTACATTCGCCAATCTGGGGCTGTCACTTAATGAGATGATGATGACTGCCAAAACTGTAGACAAAATCCCATTACCGATTGGGGGATTTCTCCATCAGATGCCCGAGGCGATGTACCCCATGGATGAATCGACTTTGCCAACTTCGGTTACTATCTTCCCCAATGTTGATATGGGAGGACCGTATGACCAAATGAGCTCTGGAGGTAAGCATCCCTATTCGTAGTTCCTGCGTTGTCTCAATGTCATAATGTAGGGATTGTATTTATTGAGGATCCGGTGAAGACAAGGATGGGGATGTAGGGATGCTTGGAATACCAGTGATGCTGCTTGGATTTTGACACTTGATAGTTCTCTTTACTGAACTGCAACTAAATGGCCATTACATTATGCTGGGGGACCTGCTGATGGTCATTAGAGAGTGAGGAGTGCTGGCTGATGGTCATGTTAAGAGTGCCAAGTACCTGCTGATGGTCATTACAGATCTCCGGATACCTGCCGATGACCAATGCTGAGGACATGCTAATGATCAATAGAGTCATGGGGACACACTGATGGCTAGTGGAGTGCTGTGAATATGCTTATGGCAAGTTGGTGGCTAGTAGTGTTGAGAACATGGTAATGGCCAGCAGAGATTGCAGGAGCCAGTAGTGCTGGGGATATGCTGATGACCATTAGAGAGTTTTGTGGACATGCTGATAACCAGTAGAGAGTTTTGGGGACAAGCTGATGGTCAGCAAAGTGCTGGGGAAATGTTGATGGTCAGAAAGGTGCTGGGGACAAGCTGATGTTCAGTAAAAAGTGCTGGGGGCATGATGATGGTCAGTAAAAAGTTATGGGGACAAGCTGATGGTCAGTAAAAAGTGCTGGGGACAAGCTGATGGCCAGTTAGGACAAGCTGATGGTCAGCAAAAAGTGTGGGGGGACAAGCTGATGGCCAGTTAGGACATGCTGATGTTCAGTAAAAAGTGCTGGGGACAAGCTGATGGTCAGTAAAAAGTGCTGGGGACAAGCTGATAGCCAGTTAGGACAAGCTGATGGTCAGTAAAATGTGCTATAGGGCATGATGATGGCCAATGAAATATTCTATGGACATGCTGATGGTCAGTAGATCGCTGGGGACATGCTAATGGTCAGTAAAACGTTCTATGGACATGCTGATAGTCAGTAGATCGCTGGGGACATGCTGATGGTCTGTAAAATGTTCTGTGGGCATGCGGTCAGTAGATCGCTGGGGACATGCTGATGGTCTGTAAAATGTTCTGTGGGCATGCGGTCAGTAGATCGCTGGGGACATGCTGATGGTCAGTAGATCGCTGGGGACATGCTGATGGTCAGTAGATCGCTGGGGACATGCTGGGGGCGTATCTGTCAGTGTTGTATGTAGCTGTCAGTGATCACATCCGATTGATCTGTCATAGTAGAGTTCACAGACTTGTCTTAGAATACACAATCACATTAGCTGGAAGGTTTCATAATGTCTATTCTCTGTAGGATTGCGATAAGTCCAAAACACAGTGATGTACGATGCATTGATGGCTGCCATATATACAATTGATCATTGCACTCTATTAATGTCTCTTCATTCTCCTCCTTTCTAGATGGAATGATCAATGTGGACATGAGCAGCGAGAAGAGATCGCTGGATCTGCCTTATTGCAGCAGCTACCCATCCGCCTCCCGCAATCAGACCTTCACCTATATGGGCAAATTCTCCATTGACCCGCAGTACCCCGGGGCCGGCTGGAATCCAGAGGGATTCTTTAACATAGTCAGCACCGGCATCCTAGGAGTGACCCCTTCGTCATCTTCATCCACTACTTCCTCCAGTATATCCTCGGTGTCCCCCAACAGCCTGAGCTGCAGCATGGCCCATGGACAGAGCGAGCTGGAGCACATGTACTCTCCCCCGCCGTACTCCAGCTGTGCGGAGATGCCCATGTACCAGGACGGCTCAGCCTTCCTCAGCACCGGTACCGGCGGCTCTCTGTCCTACCCTCCCCCTTCATACCCGTCCCCCAAGGCGGCCACTGATGGCACCATCTTCAACATGATCCCCGACTACCCGACACTCTTCCCCCCTCAGTGCCAGAGGGACCTGCACCCAATGACTGACCGCAAACCTTTCTCCTGCCCCCTGGACTCCATGAGG